CCATGGCACAGCCCTGGTTTGCTCATGTGGGCTGCTAACAACTGGAACAGCCCTTGACCGAACTGTTGTATCACCATCTTTCTTATGACTTGCCGTTTTGTGAGCAAACGGAAAAATGTGTTCATTAAACACTACACTTCTGGACACATAGATCCTGCCATGTTCATCCATGCACTGATAACCATGGTGCAATGGTGAGTATCCGAGAAAAACACAAGCCTTGGACCGAAAATCTAACTTGTGTGCATTGAACACCCTAAGATTGGGGAAGCATTGGCAGCCAAAGGTTTTGAGGAAGCTGTAGTCAGGAGGCTTGTCATACAGCTTCTGATAGGGAGAAATATTGCCAAGAATCTTAGAGGGCATTCTGTTGATGAGGTATACTGCACTAAGAACTGCATGAGACCAAAGATTTAGGGGCATTGAGGCTTGAGCAAGCAAAGTTAGGGCAGTTTCAACTATATGCCTGTGTTTCCTTTCCACTACCCCATTTTGTTGTGAGGTATGTGGACATGACTTCCTGAGTTTAGTGCCAAGTTTATGTGAGACAGCTTCAAGAAAACGAAACTCACCTCCATTGTCAGTTTGCAATGCAAGGATGGTTGTTTTGAATTGATTTGAGACTAAGGCATCAAATATTTCAAAGGAGACAGCAACCTCACTTTTATTCTTTAAGAGATAAACCCAGCTGTTTCTCGAATACAAGTCTACAAAGCTCACAAAGTATCTGAAACCACTAGAGACAATAGGAGCAGGGCCCCATACATCAACCTCTACTAATTCAAATGGCTGTTTGTAAACAGTTTGTGACATAGGAAAGGGCTGAGTTTTGCATTTTCCCATCTGACAGGCTGCACACACCTCACTCTTATCTACACTTAGCCTTTTGTTGAGAGCTGTCATAACCACCTCAGCTGCTGGATGCCCCAATCTTTTGTGCCACAACCAGTATTCGTTGGCACTTTTTGCAACAGTGTTATTTAGTGTTGCTGTATCATGCATGGTTTGACAGTCAAAGCAGTCCTCCATCAAGCTTCCCTTCTACCAGCACGACTCCTGTACTCTCATCCTTAACATAACAAGTATTTTTATGAAACTCAAAGAAAACTGAATTAGCTTGAGTGAATCTCGAAACTGACAAGAGATTTTTATTAATGTTTGGAACATGCAGAATGTGATCAAGCAAGAGATCCCTAGAGTCCGTTTTTAAAATATTTGAACCAATGTGTGCAATTGAAATAGTGGAACCATCTCCTAGATGCACCTTACCACTGCCGGTGTAGGCTTGTTTGCTCGAGAGTGCAAAAGTAGTGCCAGTTACATGGTGAGTGGCTCCTGAATCAGGAAACCATTTAGCATGGTTCAGAGGACCATTGGCCATTAATGCATTGACTTGTGCATTGTCATGTGGCTCGGTGTCAGCTGAATCTTCATCTTCTGTATTGGTGTTTATAAAAGGACTGTAATGACAGTCAGTTGCATGAGGAAAACATGAGCACACGTTCGCCTGCATGACACTAGACGAGGAACTTTGCTGAGCAGTTACACCTTTGAAGTTCTGGTCAAACCTGTGCCAGCACCTGTCAACTAGATGACCTAACTTTCCACATAGTTGACATTGCTGTTTGGGTCTCCCCTTATACTTGTTACTAGCAGTATTGTTAGACTTTGCAGACCCACGATTCTTGTATTGTTGAGAGTCCGAGTTCTGACTGGTGTTGTAGCGTGTGAAATTGACCCCTATTGGGAATCTTGAGGAGTCATCAAGGCGGGACTCAGCATCAATGAGAACCGATACCACACTGTCGAGAACAAATGATTCTCTGCTCGCAGTAATCGCAGCCACTGTTGGCTCATACTCGGCTGGAAGACCATTAAGGATGGTGGCGATGTGATCAATGTCTGAGATAGGATTGCCACATGTGGCTAAGAGGTCACAAATTTCTTTAATGGACATGGTGTAGTCTCTCATAGATTGAGTGCCTTTCTTCATTGATCTAAGGCGATAATGCAGGGCCATTATTTTTGTGGTGGATAACTTCGAATACAGTCTGGTGATGGCATTCCAGACAGCAGCCGTAGATTCAGCACCAACCAATTGAGGAAGAATGTTGGTACTAACGGTGGAAAGAAGCCAAGAAGCCAAGGAACTATCTTGCTTGACATACCGTAGAAAAGCTGGATTAACAACCTGCTCACCAGCATCATTAACCGTTAGTTTTGTTGGAACCACCATGGAATCATCAAGAAAGCCTTCGAGTCCGAGCCCTCTGATTGTGAGAATTACTTGTTGCTTCCAAAGAAGATAGTTTGAGTCGGTTAGGCAGACATTGATTCTTTTATTAGCAAAGGTATGAGAGCTTGCTTCTGTTATTTGCTCATCCTCAGCTGTCATGATCAAGCCTTGCACCATGACTTTTCTTCGAAAGCAGCCTAGAACCAGAAGAACAAGGAATAAGAAAGAACGACGCACAGCAAAAGCTTATTCAGGATCTAATGGCGAATGATACCATGTTAACTATGAAAGAAACTTAGCAAGAGAAGCAGAAAAAGAGAGATTTGCTATTCACATGAATCATGCTGATTTACACAAGTTGAGCTGCTATTTAATGGTTGTAATACACAGCTGTACAATCAGTTATACTTAACCAATTAACTGCTTAACAGCTTCTAACCACCATTCAACTGAAAGTGGTTTAACAATACGAAGGAGTCTATCCCTTGTTGGTAGTCTATCAAGAATAGCCAACCAAATAATAACACTAAATTTAAGAATGTGAAGGATAATCCAGATAAATTTATGTCAAGGGACTTTATCTTGTTTGTGTCTAAATTTAGTGGTCGTAATACATACAAGCATTAAGAATGGGGATTTTCCCAGTTCTGATGACATCACCGTACCTGTCATGTCATGTTGCCGTCACATCTAAGCCATTAAAATTAGGGTTTATTAAACACATCTTTCCCAGCTTTAAAAGCCTACCCAAGTCGATTCCAATTTCCAAAAGTAGAGAAAAAATTCAAAACCTCTTTCAATCTCTCCCTTGTTCCTTTCAGCTTTGAGTGAATTAAAGGAAATATTGAAACAATTAAATAAAAAAACAAGAAGAGTCAGATTTCAGGTCTGTGCGTGAATCTAATAAAACTGTCCCACAAAAACAAAATTCTGGAAAGGTGGATTTGGTTTCATGTTAGATTCACGCACAAACTCGTAATCTTTTCATTCTTCCCGCGTCGTTTATTCAAGTTGCTGTATTTATTTCTTTTTCTTTTTTTGTCCCAAATGAATTGCCAATTTTGATCATAATTTTGGGAAAAGGGGAAGAAAAGTAGCTGTTATTATCAAGCCTACCTGCTGAATCAAGGATCCTCTGAATTCGAAGGTACATTTGTTGAAAAAACTGACATTTATCTTCATCCTATTATAATATTGCCTTATCAATTAGATATCGGCATGAGCCGCTCGACAAGGGAATAATTGCTTATTATAATTGCATTGGGGAAGACTCTGTCATGAAATCTTCAGGACTTTCTGCTGGCGTTGTTGTTAGTATCCGTATCGTGGTTAAGTGGTTTAGGATGGAAAATTCATTAGCTGTAGTACCTTGAATGAGAACTAGTACTTGCAGAATTTGGATCCAATGTCCCCTTCGCTTCTCCTTTCCAAATGTTTAAGATAATGAATGAAACAAGTCTTGCTGCTTCTGTTTTGTTAGGGTTCATCTGCCAATTTATCTGCATTAACATAGTAAGTTCTTATTTTGAGTTGATTGTCATATAGCTCAAAATTTATGTAACCTGGACGTATTGAAATTGGTCATCTTTCCCTTGTCTTGAAGAGTTGCCCAAGGATACCTATGATAGAAAATTTCTTGAAGAGGCTTTGTTTTTTTTTGTATATATGGTATTTTGAATCCTATATTATAAAAGAAAAGACTTCATTTATTTTTGTTATATTTATATATTTTTCTCATAGGAAATAACCAATATTATATATTAACAACTCTATTTCATCTATTTTGGGAGATTTTCACCCTTTTAGAGTATTAGTGGCCTTCTCTATTTGTATCATACATGATGCAACACCAATGGTTAGAAGGGCAAAGTTTGTGAAAGCTCCGTCAGTGTCTCGTTAATTACAGATTCTATTCCGAATTTGGTGCAATTATGAATGTGTGAGTAACTAAAGGCAAGAAATTAGTGGTGTTGCCGCAAACTTCTTCAGAATTTTCTTCCCTGACCATAAGCATGCACCTTTAACACTATTAATTGTTTACATATGAACTTCTAGTCAGAATTCGATAACAATAGCTTTCGTTTGCAACAGCAATGAGTCCAACGATTTCAAGCCAATGAGAATGCTTTTAGGGTGTGTGAAGCTTTCCTAATTCATTAAATTTCCTAGGGTGTCCCTTCTTGTGCATCAACATTTCAGCTCACCGTTAGTGGTTCATCCACATTGGCATCGGTTCATCCAGCCACCATAAAGGTGGAAGCTTTTGGAGCTTAAGAGAACTCCAATGGAGGGAAAAAGCTGCTGCAAACATCAGTCCATCACAATTAGTATACATCGTCACACACTGTAAATTGCTTATATAGGAACTTCTAGTTAGAACTCCATAACTGTAGCCAATGTTTCATAATTGGTTTCTACAATTACTTCCAGAAGATTTTGCTACGTGCTTTAATTTGATGAAGAAATCAGAAGGGTTAAGTACTTGTGTTGTGGGTGATTTGTTGCTAACATCGAACACCATATGATTCTTTATTATTGACATAGACATGACATATCAAACAGAGTATTAGTGAATGTTCCATAGTTGTTATGAAATCGGTGGTTGCAGAACCAACAGCTTCCGTGACCTAGGGTGTGAGGTGTTTTCAGACATCATGATCTCATAGCCCGGCCACCCATGTTATTTCTTCTCCTTGTTCATGAAGTTTGTTATACTTATTGATATTATTATAATCTTGATGTCATTCTGAAAATTGAAATTTACATGTTACCTGACCAGGAAGATTCTAAACAGAATAGGCGATATGATAGGTAAATTTTGAAGTGATTGCTTATATAAAAAATCAAGGAAGAAAGTATAACCTAAAAACACCTAGTGTAGAACATGATAATTATGTTGTAGTAGCAACTAGAACCATGTTATTTGAACTTGGGTCTGAGTGTGGAACATAGTTATTATTTTAAGTCTTTTTAATTTAAATATTAGTCAATTGGTCTCCTCCTCCAATTGGTTTTGTTAAATTGAATGTAGATGGTGCTATGGACAGGTGGTGGTCGAAGGGAGGAATTGGTGGCCTTATCAGAGATGAGAAAGGAGTGATGTTGGGTTCATTCTCAGAAAAAGTGGGATCCGGTCCTCCTATTATTGCAGAATTGATGGCAATTAGGAGAGGCTTGAACCTGTTCCTGGATTCGGATTTGTTGGTAAATCGAAGGCTTATTTTGGAGTCTGATAGTGCGATGGTAGTGAAGTGGATAAAAAATCTAGCAAGTTCCACTCCAATGTTTCTATCTATTGTTAAAGATATAGAAGACATTGTGGTCAATAAAAGGGTCATTGTCCGTCATGTGGCGAGAGCAACTAATTGTGAAGCGGATGAATTTACCAAACAAGGGATTAGTTAAATGATGGGGAATTAATTGGGTTGTTGTTTGTCTATTAATGGGCTAAAGGGAACATTAGGGAATGATAGTTGTTTGTAATTGGTTGTTTTGTTGTAGGGTATTAACTTTTTCATGTAGGCAGTGCTGTTTTGCACTGTATTAAGTGGAATACCATCTTTTTTGGGTGGTAGTGAGATCTTATTGTATTTTGTAGGCCTGTAAACGAACCGAACGCACACGAACGGATGTATGTTCATGTTCGTTCATTTAATAAATAAGCGAACATAAACGAACACGAACATAAACGAACAAACTTTTTTTTGTTCATGTTCGTTCATTAAGGAATATAGTTTGTTCATGTTCGTTCATTTAATAAATAAACGAACATAAACGAACACAAACATAAACGAACACGAACATAAATGAACACGAACATAAACGAACATAAACGTTAGAGACCCTACCTTCCATTGTTCTTTCATGAAAAATAGTCGACAATGCAAATCAACCAAATCTACAGTGATAATAGCGTAAGAGCTGATTAGCAGTGATGAAATGTTTGAAGATATCAGATATTTCGATCAATCTTTTAAAGATATTAAATGATTCACACAACTTTAGAGTTAATTTGTTCGAACACGACAAAAACATACATAAATCATAAGTAAGCTATATGAATATAATAAAGTCTTAAAGTTAATTTGTTCAACAAAACAATCTTCTTGAAATCCAAACAACTTCAATAATATTCGTAACATATTCAACTTGCATTAATGATCAGTCGTTAATTCATCATCCATCCTGATCAAAATCAAACAAATAAAATTATATTAAATTAAAGGAGTTATAACAAAAGATGAAAAATGTACTAAATTAGCGAGGTTATACCAATTCATTCATCCTCATTTTCAAGGAATCTCAACATGTATGATATCTTCGTTTTTCTACAACAAATCAAAAAACCAAAAATATATTAATCATTGTAAAACCAAATTCAATAAAACTTAAAACATAAAAATACCTTGTTTTTATTTTTCTCCAACCCATAGTATTGACGATACCAATCAGCTCCACAAACAAGCATATCTACCATCTTAGTTCCTAAAGAGGATCGATGCGGATCAATAACCCTCTCACCAGCACTGAAAGCAGATTCAGAAGAAACAGTAGTGACTGGAATTGCCAATATGTAAGCAGCCATTTTTGACAAAATGTTAAATTTAATATTGTTCTCCTTCCACCATCCCAGTCCACAGTCTTCATCTTTCCCAAGCCCTGAACCTTCCTACCATGCGAGTCCCTCATCTTCCTTATGCCCGAGTCTAACTCGTTTCAATTCAAATACCTCGACTCACCTCCTTCCATTCCTCCGCAACATTGCAGCCATATCCAGCAGCGCTCCACTGACCTCGCCACTTTCTTCCCCCACTAGAGGATATAAGCGCAAATCTGACTGGGACTCCCTAAAGGAAACTCTAACGCGGATGACTGGGCAACGAGGGGTGGGCTGGAGAAGACCGACTGGTCGAATGCACCGTTCATAGCGGCGTACAAGGGGTTCCAATTCGTTCAAGATGCCACAAAAAATCCCTAAATTCACAACCCAAAATTAACAGACCAAAAAATTCAAATTATTTACCTTATGAAATCACGTTCAAGAAGGGAAAGAGATGAAGCTCTGTCGAATTGTTGCAGTTGAAGACTTGAAGCTCCGTCAAATCGTTGCAGTTGAAGACTTGAAGCTCCGTCGAATCGTTGCAGAAATGAAAATTGTGGAGGGTGGGGAGAGTTGAGAATCAAGAACAGCTGAATGATGGGATGGAGAAGAGTTTGTTTTTAGATTTAGGGTTTTTTGTATTACCACTTAATCAGGCTGTAAAATTGGGTTAATTATGAAGTTGGTCATCAAAATATCATATTAATTAATATTTTTAAGATACATACAAATTGGTCATCAAAATTGATTTAAGAATATTAGGTTAAACATAAATGAACGCACATAAACGAACATAACTAAACGCATATAAACGAACATAACCGAATGTTCACGAACGTAAATGAACGAACAAGACCTATGTTCATGTTCGTTCATTTAATTAAACGAACACAAAATCTTATTCATGTTCGTTCATTTAATAAATAAACGCACATAAACGAACTTCCCGCCGCACGGTTCATAAACGGTTCGCTGAACGTTCAGTTCATTTACAGGCCTAGTATTTTGTTATTACGCAATAAAACTTCTAAGGCACTCTTTTTCTCCTTCCAATGTTCGTTTAGTCTTTGTTGCTTGACGGTTATGAAGGGATTTTTAACGAGGTCTTCCTTTTTATCAAAAAAAAATTAAATATTAGTCAAATAAGATTTTTGTCCCCAGCAATTCTGAAATTTAATATTTAATAAAGCTTTGTTTTTCTTATAAATAAAATAAGTCCTCCATGTTTGATCCTAGCTCTGCCCTGACTAGAGTGGTCATTCTTTATAAAGGTTAAGGTTTGTTCTCTCTTGACTTCTAGAGAGGATTCACTTTCCGATTTTATCCTCTTATCAATCAGCAGTAATACTTGGCTACTATGTAGCTGTTTACATGCTGAAAGGGGTATTCGATGCAATGCAGAAACATTGATGGGACTATGGATGATCGGCGTGTAAATCTATGGATGATCGATGCAATGTAGAAGGAATATTATATCATTAATTTAACATTCCAAAATATCATTCTTATATTTGGTTTCTGAACATTTCCGGGAGGGGTAGTAAATTTAAAAACAATTTTCGATTATCTGAACGAAAGACTCTTTAAAACTGTTTCAAATTGAAAGATAATAACATAACCGAGTCTCAAAATTAGAGCTGAAATTTATACGATAACTGACGAACTCGTAATTATTTATATTATGAGAGAAATCAATCACGTTTTAATCGAGAATCAACGATATAAATGCTGAAAATTCAAATTCAACCGGACATCAGTGGGCCAGAATTTCCAGTTTAGATGTGTTGATGTGCATAATCTGTCGGCACCAGCCGAATAGAAAGAAGAGTATATTGGCCGCAAGTGCAATTGGGGAGAACTAGAACTGGACCATCGAGTAGGCTATGAACCAATAGTTCTTCCTTTGACCATGATACTTGTCATATTTTTGTGTACATCTATCTCACGTTTTGGAATGCTAGAAAACAGATTCTGAGATTACGATAAGTATCTACTGTCGGCAGGTTTGTTTTCATATTCCGTTTCAGAAAGCATTAATGGCATCAAATTTTCTTAAACTATATTACTTGGAATTTAAGTTGATCTTATTGACAAAACACGGTTAAGTTCAGAATTTGGTCCAAATGCCTATTAAGCAAAAGAAAAACCAAACATGACTTGCGTAACAGAAAGCTACCGAGTAAGAGTGAGATGGTAGGATGTTGTAATCAACATTGGTGGCACAAACCGACCCTCAACAATAAAGCTTTGGCCTTGTTTTATTAGGTGACAGTCAAAAGCACTGATACATCCTCTGGAGCTTCTGGTGTGGACAGATACAATCCACATTCAGACATACGGTAAGCAGGAGACAGCGGAAGAAAGATAGTTGTCGTCCAACAAAAGTGAAATTCAGAATATTTTGTCTCTTTCTTTATGCCTCTAAGAAACTTGCCAAAACCCCAATTTTAGTTTGAGTTTGGCAATGCCATGTGCACCACTCGTACAGGCTCTTGATTTGAATAAATCGTGTTAACGGGGCCAACAATAGGGAATCATGAAACTGAAAAGTTAAAGACACCTTCGCTGCTCTCAATCTTCTAAGACAGTTTATACGATAAAAAGCTTAATTGAGAAATAAATAATAAAATTATATATTTTTTATTTTATTTTTTGTAAAAATAAATATTTAAACTTTTTATTCACACCTCATTTTTATATTATCTATTAAATTATTATTTTTATCAAAAAATAAATATGTGTTTTTTATCATTCAGTTATAAAAAAATAATTTATTATTAAAAAATTGAATTTAGGTCATTTAGATCAATCTACCTTTTAATTCTTTAAAGATGTCAAATCATTTTAGAAATTATCAAAAAAATCTTGAAACTTTCATCTCAAACACAAGTTTTTTTTTATATTTTATTTGATCCATCCGTGTTGGAGTATTTTCTTTTAAATAAAGATTAAAATTAAAAAAATGTTAAAATATAAAATTTTAAGACTAATATAAAGATTCAATGTGAAGGGACGAACGAAATTTAAGAAAATAATATAATTAAATGACAAATTTAAAAAAGAAGTTAAACGAATAAATATATAATAGGACTTTAGTTTAGACAAGTGGGTGGTGAATGCAGTCAACTATTGGGCTCGAGTCCAAAAACTAGGCTGGTTTGTAATCGAAGATGGCGACTTGGCACAATAAAACAAAACAACTTTAGATAATTTTAAACTAAAGAAAAAGAATAGTGTATACAATTCTTGTATTTTTCTTGAGCTCCCAAACGTATCCAAGAGCTCAAATAGTCTACATACATAAGAATTGTTATATATTTAAAGGATTAATTAACAATTATTCAAATAATTAATCAATCCAATACTGAAAATGCTTAAATTAACTCAATTGAGATATTAAATTCAACTAGGAATTACAAGAGAGAATAATAAATAAATAAACAGATTAAAGGGGAATTTGCCGCTTTAGAGGGGAAAACTTTACAAAATGAACGGTCCAATTAAAAAAATCTAAAATCTTATAACGTGATTGGAGTTTTGTTCTGGCCCAAAATGCCAAACTCACGGCACGATCAAGGGCACTTTCTTCCTGATGTCACCCGTTGGATCAACAACGTGGAATGCTGGCGGTGCCCCTTCCAAGAAAGAGGACAAAAAGCGGGTCCCATAAAGGCAAAACAGTAGCCAAATAACACGTGTGAGGCGAAAGGCTCCAACGATCGCGCGCCTCAAATGGGAACATCCGAGCCGTGTATTTAATGATTTAAATATTAAAATTTAAAATTTAGAGTCTCAGAATGTAAAGTTAAGAAAATAAGATTTTAAAATTTAAAATTTATGATTCAAATTCCTCGACGTAAAATAATTTTTATATCAAACAATATTTGTTTTCCTTCTTAAAATAGACTGTTGATCAAAATTCAATTCCACACCAATAAAATATAAAGAATTTGACCGTCTCATCTTTATCCTTCCAACGAGGATGCAGATTTGACGTTGCAAAAGATTACACGCGGACGAATGAAAACAAAACCTCATTATGACGTTTTATTATTGTATCTTATATTTATATAATTTTGTTCCACGTTAACCCCTTTTATATTACGTAAATATTTGGAGACTCTGTTACATTAATTTTAACATTAATCAAATTAGACTTGCCTTGTAAATTTCAGATTTAAAATTATAAAAAATTATATATATGAGAAACAACTTTTATGTTGGATGTATTTATATACAAAAGTAGTTGTGGTGTGTGAAAAATAAAAAGCTAAAGTTAATGGTTACCGAGAAAAGAAGAAAGGAAGCGAATTATTGAAGCAAGGTAAGTCGAGCTTACACGTTAATTGTGTCACCGTGCGGTGGGATGGATGGAATTCATGCTACAACTAGGCAGTAAATGAGACGAGACAGATCGTGAGGTACTCGAGATAAATTCGATTAAGTCTCGATAAATACTCGGATCGAATGGACTCGAGTCGAGCTCGAGCTCGACTCGAATTCTTAACGAGCCGAAACGAGCTACTTGATATTCGACTCGAAAACCTCGTGAGCAGCTCGAAAATATAATATATTAAGATTTTATTTTTTTAAAAAATAAATTATTAATAATATTAACATTTATGTATTGATTGTTTTTAAAAAATACAGTAATGTTTTAATGTATTTAAGGTTCATGTTCGAGTTTGAGAATTCAATATAGTTAAGTTTAAGATTTTTTTTTTCATTTCGAGCCTTTTCGAGCTGCTAACGAGCTTCAGTTTAGGATTTCGAGTTCGAGTCGAGTTTAAAAATTTTAATCTCGCGAGTTTTTGAGTCGAGTCGAACTCCATTTCAGAGTTTTCAAGTCGAGACGAGCTCAGCAATACTCGAACTCGACTCGACTCGTTTACACCCCTAACTACAACACCACACGTGCATTGTATTATTATTCCCACACCGATCCCCATGAGCTAAAGCTACAAAGAAAAAGATAATTCTAATGATCTTCTTCTTCCTCGTCTTTATTGCGTTTTTCCACCTTTCATTCGGATAACCACCGTCTTGAATAAGTAAATATTATTAATACAACTAGTCCCTACATGATCTATCGTGTTGATTATGACACAAATTAAGTAATTATTAAACTAAAACATGATCAATGTATACGTTATCTTATCCTCACACTTTGTTTTATACACGTTGCCACTTGCCTGATTTAATAATTATTTTTTCTTCGTTTTCCGTAGGGTTTTGGAGTTATTTCCTTACACGCCCCCGCATATACATACACGTATAAAAGAATGTTAGTTTTGATTTATGAGAAAATATTAACATATACTTTCTTTGTACATCATTAGGTTTTGATATTATTAATTTATTTGTTTTTAAAGATGAAAAATGGCAAAACTTTCGAGATAATGTTCTGAAAAAAATTAATTCACGGGATAAAGTACTCCTAAGATTAATTGCTCAAATAAGGTGAAATCCACAGTGTTGGTCGTAGGTCGCCATGCCTTCCGGGCGACTTACTAGGCCGCCATGTCTTCCCGGCGAGCTACAAGAGATTGCATGTGCCATGCACGTCCCAACACGCTGGGCATCCGAGGCCATCCGAAAGCATCCGACGCCATCCGAGAGCATCCGAGGTCATCCGACCGAGGCCATCCGAACGAGCTATGCGAGGGCATCCGAGGGCAACCGAGCGAGCTATGCGAGGGAAGCCGAGCGAGGGTAGGTCGGCCGGAGGGCATGGCGACCTATGGGTTGGGACGTGCATGTGCCATGCAACACGTTTATTCTCACGTTCATTCTCTCTGTTTGAGCAAGGGGTAGGTCGCCCGGAGTGCATGATGACCTACAAGGTCGCCCGGAGTGCATGGCGACCTACGGCCAACACTGTGGATTTCACCCTATTTGAGCAATTAATCTTGGGATTGCATTAGTTCGTGAATTAATTTCTTTTAGAACATTATCTCGAAAGTTTTGCCGATAAAAAATATTTATTTATTTATACACCCAAAAACTGCGACCAAAAGGCCAAAACCAAGGGGCTTTACCGCTTTAGTGCTTTACGCCATATAAGAATCTTCACGTGGAGATGGAAATGCGTTCACACTTTGGACCAGTTAACCGGTCAAATTTCTACGTATGAAAATGATTTCGTCGACATGCATTCAATGACAACCGTAACTGTTGCATGTCCGTACAAAAAATTTAACCGGTCTAAATATTATATACGTTTTATATAAAAGAAATAAAATCCATGTATTAGTATTATTGCCATTTTCCCAGCTCTCTCACTTTTCTTCTTCTCTGTACCCAAAAAATATCACTTTCTTCTAACCCTAAAACTCTTCCCCTCCCTCTTTAACATACCTTATAAATCAGATCAAACCCCATACTCCCCTTCCCTTCCCTTCTCTCTCACTAAACAAAGCTTCTCTTGGTTGTTGAAGTGAAATTGGTCCGGTTGATTGAGCATATATATACACATACATTCAAGGAGAGAAAAGAAGAGGTTAAAAGATGGAAGATGTATTGGGAAACTCATCGTTTTTAGCGAATAGTTTCCCATTACAAATGATTTACGATACGAGTAGCGAAGGAGACAAGTTCCCATTAGGGTTCACGGAGCTATTGGGCACTCAAGACTTTACCAGTCCTCCTTTATTTGATATCGGACAGCAGGTTCCGTCTCTTGTAACCGACCCTCCGATGAAGATCGAGTCACCGGAAACTTTTCATCTGCCTGCGACGCCTAACTCTTCGTCGATTTCATCGGCATCGAGTGAAGCCGTCAACGATGAACCTGTTAAAGTTGACGACCATGAAGAAGACCAGCAAACAACCAAGAAACAGTGAGTAACTTTACCCTTGTTTTATGTTCTGTTTGCAGTTTTGTGCTTTTGGTTAACTGTTAAACAGAAACCCCATTGTTGTTTTCACATCGAAGTGAACTTTAAGCTGAAATATTTGCTTGGAATTTTTTTTGGGGCGTAGGTTGAAACCCAAGAAGACAAACCAAAAGAGACAGAGAGAGCCAAGATTCGCGTTCATGACAAAGAGCGAGGTTGATCATTTAGAAGATGGATACAGATGGAGAAAGTACGGCCAAAAAGCTTTAAAAAACAGCCCTTTTCCTAGGTACTAACTTCAATGTTCACACTTTAAATTGTCTTGTCCCCTCGTTCTGTGTGCAGTGTCGTAATGTTCTTACCAATTTGGGTTTTGGGTTAACTTTTTCTTTGTTTTGTCGATGTTTTATTTCCCCAGGAGTTATTATCGTTGCACCGGTACCTCATGTAATGTGAAAAAGAGGGTGGAGAGATCTTTCACTGATCCAAGCATCGTGGTAACCACCTACGAAGGGCAACACACTCACCCCAGCCCACTCATGCCTCGTCCGAGCCTCAGCGGTTCTCGTCTCAACTCAGACATCGCCATCGAAGCTGCCACCGGAGCAGCTTTTAGTATTCCAATGCAAAAGGCTCAACCTCACTACTACTACCATCACCAGCAGCAGCAGCAACATCCATTTGGCAGCACCTTGTATCCTTTAGGCCATAATGGCTTCTCTACTAGCGCTGGTTTTCTTCACGAAAGGCGCCTTTGCACCTCAGGGCAGTCCTTGCTTAAGGACCACGGCCTTCTTCAAGACATTGTACCATCCCATATGCTGAAAGAAGAGTAGATTTAGTTTAAAGCACCGGTTCTCTGTAATAAGTAATTCTATTATTAACTCGGGGGGTGAAAAGAGGTGTAGATGAAATGATTTAGTTCATGTTCACTGGTAATGTAATTTTTTCTTGCTGACAGTGGCAGGTGGTGATTTTTCTTGTAGCAAAAGAACACGCCGCCCCTTCTAAATAGAAAATCTTGATGAATATTACTGTAACTTGTTGTTTTTTTTACTTTATGATCCAATGGCACATTTAGTGATTTTTCTTCTCATTTTGATCCAAGGAAACTCGGGTCTTTCCTCTTTATTTCATCTGACCCATCGTTTGTCTTATGTTTTTGTTTTTGTTGGTGAAAGAATGTGCATTGATTCCCATCGAAAGTGCTGCAAAAGAGATTTTGAGGTGTAGGGTTCCTCAGTGAACAATAATTAATGAGGAACAGATGAGGCCTGCAAACGTACAAATTTGGTGAGAAAGAAAATCAATGCGTTCCTAACATAAACCTGAAGCTTTTCTTAGAAAATGGACAAAATTTTCCCGAGTTAACATGAATTACTCTACTGTCGTTACATTTATCTCACAGATTTGGTTCATTGAATTGAATGGTGTGGGTGGAGATTCAGTGTGTTGTGTACGAGGGAAATGAAAACATTACAGTATGGGGGCATTATTCTTTTATTCTGATATCATGGAGATTTATGGATTTCGATTTCAAACATCGCTATCTCACATTTCCTTTTGTGGTGGTATATTTGCTGGCCATGTGAACTTGTCATTGTTAAGAATACACCGTTGACAAAAATTGATCACTGGTTAATTTTTTTTAAATGGTGATGAATGCAAAAGGGCAAATCAGATACCTTTCACGTTGCATAAAGAATAAGCTCGACATTGTTAGTGAGATAAGCCATTACGTAGGGACGGTAAGGTTGGATAATGGATATGATTATACAGTTCATCTCCTTTAATTTAAACATAAAATTATTCAAGAATAACAATGGTCGGAGAATGAGACCCTGAACATCCTTTACCTTCTCCCTAGAAGGAGAAAGAATGGAAGGAGAATATGAGAGATTACTCTCCCTTAACAGAGAGTATCTTGTTATATACTTTGTAACCCTAGTGTCCTATTGTCATGTAATTACTCGGACCCAAAAAATAGTTATGAACACGTATATATTAACAATATAAAATTTATATATAAATAAACATAAAAATTCAAGATGAATACAATCAATATAATAAATAATTATTTAAATATAATTTTAGATTTTAGGATGTATACTAAGTTCAGTGGATCCGCTAATGACCTTTCAAGAAATTCACGCAATAAGATTGGGGTTGAACAAAAAAAATGGTTGTCCCTTGTTCCCATATGTATGGGGTAAGGGGGAGGTAAGATAGTAGGCTGCCCCCAACACTAGGTTGAGAACAGCTTCCGTAGGAGACCTCCAAATTATGAAATGTCCTCCATAGGACTCGATCCCACGACCTCAAGGTTAAGAACCTTGTGATTGAAATGCCCATTTTAATAAAGAATATGGAAAGCTTGGAAAATTGGGCTTAGTTTAATTTTCAATGGGCTCAAAGGCTGTAAGAAGAGTATTAAAGTTGGAATTTAGAAATACTAAAGCAAGATTAGATTTGGACGGCTAAAACGTAAATAAATTCAATTGTAGGGACCAATGAGTAATTCCAGAAAATAGGTATCTAAACGAACTTAACCCTTAAGTTTATTTATGTTCGTTTATTTATTAAACGAACGAACATAAACAATATTTTATGTTCGTTTAATTAAATGAATGAACATGAAAAGAGTGTTCGTTCATTCATTTACGTTTGTGAACGTTTGGTAATATGTCTGTTTATGTTCGTTCGTTTATGCACGTTCATTTATGTTTAGCCCAATCTCTATAGACTCATTTAAAATATTAAAACCAAATAAATATTAATCTTATACCCATAAATATTTTAAAATTCAATTAATTTTAAATACAAATAAAAAAAACTCAAAACAATTAAATAAAATATAATCCTAAAATTGTTAGGAAAGAAAAAACATATTTTTATTTATGTACGTTTACGTTCATTTACGTTCGTTTATGTTCGGTTACATCCGATTGTTTTTGTTCGTTTATCATTTAAATGAATGAACATAAACGAACAAGAACAAACTGCATTCCTTAACGAACGAACATGAACAAAATATTTTTATTTTTTATGTTTGTGTTCGTTCATTTATTTAATTAAAATTAAAGCGAATATAAATCAACCCTTATTATTGTTGGTTCGGTTGGTTACATGATACTCCTTTCAGTCGGTCTTTTCAGCAGATAGGCAAATTCGTAAAATTGTAGAATAATTAAATATAAATAACCTGAAATCAAAATGCCCCTAGCCTTCTGCCTCTCTTTTACCCACCTGATTTTCCCATTGCTATGGTTTTCATTCCCCCTTTCAAAAGGAGGAGTTTTTTATTCAACAGACTCTATCAAATTCCCTAGGGTTTTGAATGGGTACGGAGAGGAAGAGAAAGGTGAGCTTGTTCGATGTGGTGGACGAGCCATCGGCGAAGCTCGTAAAATCGAACGGTTTAGGAAGCGTAGCGGCGGTGAACGCCAACAGCTCGATCAACAAGTGGAATGGAAGGCCGTATTCTCAAAGGTATTACGATATCTTGGAGAAAAGGAAAACGCTGCCTGTTTGGCAACAGAAAGAGGAGTTTTTGCAAGTCTTAAAGGCGAATCAGACCCTTATCTTAGTCGGTGAAACCGGTAGCGGTAAAACCACACAGGTTAGTACTTCCTTCAGATGAAAATTTTAGAAATTTTAATTTGATTTACTATCTATGAACAATCATCAGGGATTTCTGTTTGAGGAAAGAATTAGGCAGTTACATTCTAGTTTTCCCCCCGATTATGCAGATACCACAGTTTGTGCTGGACGCCGTTGATTTAGAAACCCCGGATAATCGTAGGAAAATGATGGTTGCCTGCACCCAGCCGCGAAGAGTGGCCGCTATGTCTGTTTCGCGCCGTGTTGCTGAAGAAATGGATGTAACTATTGGAGAGGATGTGGGTTATAGTATTCGATTCGAGGATTGCAGTAGTGCAAGAACTGTTTTGAAGTAAGTATATATTTTTCCTGTTGTTATATTTGGTATTATTGATATAGGCGTGGATTTGAATTAGAGAGTTTTGAGGTTTATCTTCTTTCTGTTGTTGGGCAGATATTTAACTGACGGTATGCTTTTAAGGGAAGCTATGACTGATCCTCTTTTAGAAAGATATACAGTAATTATTCTCGATGAGGCTCACGAAAGAACATTGGCTACCGATGTGCTATTTGGGCTTTTGAAAGAAGTTTTGAAGAATCGACCTGATCTTAAGCTTGTTGTTATGAGTGCTACACTAGAGGCTGAAAAGTTTCAGGGTTATTTTTATGGTGCACCACTTATGAAGGTGCCTGGTAGGCTTCACCCTGTGGAGATATTTTACACTCAGGAACCTGAAAGGGATTACTTGGAGGCTGCGATTCGGACTGTTGTGCAGATACACATGTGTGAACCTCCGGGTGATATACTTGTTTTCCTTACAGGAGAGGAGGAGATCGAAGATGCCTGTCGTAAAATAACAAAGAAATCGGAAATATGGGGGATCAAGTAGGCCCTGTTAAAGTAGTGCCCCTATACTCAACTCTTCCACCAGCAATGCAGCAGAAGATTTTTGAGCCTGCTCCACCTCCTGTTGAGGTGGATGGCCCCCCGGGAAGAAAGATTTTGGTGTCTACAAACATTGCTGAAACTTCCTTGACTATTGATGGCATTGTTTATGTTATTGACCCAGGGTTTTCTAAACAAAAAGTCTTCAACCCACGAGTGCGTGTTGAGTCCTTACTGGTATCTCCTATATCAAAGGCAAGTGCACACCAAAGATCTGGACGTGCTGGAAGAACCCAACCTGGCAAATGCTTCAGGCTCTACACTGAGAAGAGTTTTAATAATGATCTGCAGCCACAGACGTATCCTGAAATATTGCGATCAAACCTTGCAAATACAGTTCTCACCTTGAAGAAACTGGGAATTGATGATCTGGTGCATTTTGATTTTATGGACCCACCCGCTCCAGAGACATTGATGAGGGCGTTGGAAGTGTTGAATTATTTGGGAGCATTGGATGATGAAGGGAACTTAACAAAGTTGGGAGAGATCATGAGTGAATTCCCCTTGGATCCTCAAATGTCAAAGATGCTCGTGGTTAGTTCTGAGTTCAACTGTTCAAATGAGATTCTTTCAATTGCTGCCATGCTTTCAGTACCTTTCTTTGTTCTGTAGCATGCTTTGTGTTTGTGTTGAGTCAGATCTTAGGAAGTTGTTGTCATGGGACTTTATCATGCTTGATAACGTCCCTATCTGAGTAGTGTTTGCACTTCGGCTAGTGCACAACACAAGATGTTTAACTGTTTACATGCATATCTTTGCATGCATCGATGCAGTTAATCTGTAATGTGTCTTAGGTTGTCATCAGCAACTGTCTTGTCTGGGTTCCATGTCTCTGTTGGCATGTACCATAAGATTTCTAAGCAAGTGCTGATGCAGATAGTTTCAGTTTCTCAGTATTCTCTCATGACGCAATGCTGTCGCCTTGCCTGTATGCCTCTGCTGACCTACCATCGGCCTCTTCTGTGATAACTCAATTCTTTCTTTAGTACCCAATTGCTTTGTACGGCCTAGGGAGGCACAAAAAGCTGCAGATGAAGCAAAAGCTCGGTTTGGACATATTGATGGTGATCATCTCACACTTTTGAATGTGTACCATGCTTACAAACAAAACAGTAAGTAATTCATCTTTTTTCTTTAAGACTAGCCAAATTTTTTTCTGATAGCGATTGACTAGAGCTTTGCAATCTGCAAATACCGCAGACGAGGATCAATCTTGGTGCTATGAGAATTTCGTCAACCATAGAGCACTGAAGTCTGCTGATAATGTTAGACAACAGTTGGTGCGCATCATGGCCAGGTTTAATCTCAAGATGTGCAGCACTGATTTCAACAGCCGTGACTACTATGTCAACATTAGAAAAGCCATGCTTGCTGGGTATTTCATGCAGGTAGCACATCTGGAGCGTACGGGGCACTACTTGACAGTTAAAGACAACCAGGTCAGTATAAGGGTTGTCTTCTCTGTTTCCTGGTCATGCTTTCTTTATTGGTGAAGTTGTCTCCATTTAGGTGTGCGGATGGAACGTAACAATTTGTATTGTGCTATATATTTTGCAGGTGGTGCACTTGCATCCATCAAACTGCTTGGATCACAAGCCAGAGTGGGTCATCTACAACGAGTACGTACTGACAAGTCGGAATTTTATTCGTACTGTGACAGATATTCGTGGTGAATGGTTAGTCTCTCCTTATATAGTTAAAGCATTTGTAGTTGTGTAATTGTTTCTTGGTTCATGGAAATCAGAGACCCTTAGGTAGTCTTTATAGTGTTTTGTTGACGTCCCTTTAATTTACATATACTCTTTTGACGAATACAGGTTAGTTGATGTAGCACCACATTATTATGATCTTGATAACTTCCCACAATGCGAGGCAAAGCGAGTCCTTGAAAAGCTTACAGAAAAAGGAGAAGGATCGAGAGGAGAGTCGGAACAGGAGATGAAGCTACTATCTAGTCCGAATTTATATATGGTGCTATTTGCTAGTTATTCCATATGTTAGTTGATAAATGGGAAGAAAACGAAATTTCTTGTACCATCGTAACAGTAGGAACGTCTTTCCCTATCTTTTTGTATCGTACTATCTAGTCCAAATTTGTTATTCTAATTGCTATTTTATCATTTGTCGAACAATTCCAATGATCCTAAATGAAGAAGAAACGATTGCTTTTGGAACTAGTCCTTGGTATCTATCCTACAAATAAAATTAGCTGTGTGCTGTTATCTCCTGGACATATTTGATATATACTTTTTGGTGATTATCTGTCATCTTGAGATCCTATTCGAATAGCTCTTAACAAGTTTATTATTTTTGGTATATACTTGAGCCAAGTCGTTAACTTCTGGTTGAGCTTGAATGTGTTGGGTTCTGATCCTACCACCGATGCTTTAAGGACTTGTACGGATTTAGGTGGCATTGTACGTAAAATCAACTGACTCGACCACTCCAGGCTCCAGCCCAGCCGCAGTATCTAAGATTGTCCGAATGGACACCATCCAACTTAGAACAAACTCCTCTGGTAATTCGTTTTGTAGATATCTAGGAGCTTTTGCAACGCTCAGAAGTTTTAGTACTTCTGGAGAGCTAATCATTCATGCAGTGGTGGATGTAAGAGGAACTGTGCCGACCTTCAAATTGGAATTTTTGATGTCAATTATTTATTTTGTTGATGGTATTCATTCTAAAAAAAATTTGTATAAAAAAATTATGTTATTAATATATACTCATCTTTCAAGAATATTTTTGGGTCCGCCATGCTAAATATACTTGCCTCACTTGGCGAAGAAATTATCAAGAAATACATGATCACAAGTCCTTACTAGCTTGAATCCACTCAAAGTTTACCATAATCTGACTAAAAGTCTTTAAAGAGCATGCATGTATTTGGTTCATTTCACCATTCAAGATTCAATCTGACTAAAAGCATCGTGTTTTGCAATATTCTTCTTCTTCTCTTTCATCTACTTCAAGTGCTTCAATTCAGTTGCAGCGTTCCCCGTTTCACCATGTATCTTTCTAAACGCTGAATAAACTGCACGATAATCCCTTTTCAATTTTAAAAAACTCTGTGGCAAATTCTGGAGGTTCCAAACCTGAGTACAGATAAAAGGCCCTAAGAAATGCACCCCAAAGAACCACATCAAACTTGGAAAGCATCTCCTTGATCAAGGTCTCAGCTTTACCCATATGACCTGCTTTCCCATAGGTCTCCATCATACAAGCATAATGCTCCAACCCTGGTTGTATTCCATACTTGTGGTTCATGGAGTTGAAGTGTCTTTCACCTTCTTCGACCAATCCACTGCCCCTGCATGCTAACAGAACATTAAAAATCGTAACCTGATTTGGAGTGACACCGTTGCTAAGCATTCTATTAAATTCCTGCAATGCTCTTGTTCCAAGCCCTTGTCTTGCATAACCGGCTATCAAAGAATTCCATGACACCAAATTCTTATTCTGCATGGACTTGAATATGCTAAATGCAGCATCAATATTACTACATTTGCATACATATCAACAAGGGAAGCAGACAATACTAAATCCTTCGGTATCTCAAACTTGAGAATGCATGAATGGACTTGCTGGCCAGTAAAAAGATAAGAACACCCAGCACATGCATCCAATACATTAGAAAACGTAAACTGATTAGGCCTCGTACCACATCTTAGCATCAAAACAAATAGCTTCAACGCCTCCCGAAACCTTTCATGTTGCACGTATCCATTAATCATCACAGTCCAAGAAACCACATTCTTCTCGGGCATCTTATTAAACATAGACCTAGCTTTATTAACCCATTTATTCCTAATGTACCCATCAATCAAACAAGTCAAAGAAACAATATCCCTCTCGGGCATCTTATCAAATACCCTAGGAGCCTGTTTAAAGTATCCTACTTCTATATATCCCGAACCAAAGCATTCCAACAAGCAACATCCTTTATCAAAATCTCATTAAACACTCTCCCAAGTGCCTCAACATTCCCCATCTTCGCGTACCATTTCATCAACGTAGGCACCACCGATATGCTCATATTAAGCCCCGAACAAACAACAAGCGCATGAATTTGCGGGACCAATACGTTAAACTTCGTTCCCGAAAACGCACTAACTAAAGTCGAAATGGTGTACTCGTTTGGTTTAAAACCAAATCTACCCATCTCTAGAAAGCCTTTATAAACTCCTCTGGGTCTTGGCTTTGTTTAAGTCCGATAAAAAGGTGTTCCAAGAAGCGGGGATTCTAAGCGTCACTTCATCGAACAGTTTATGGGCGTGTTCAGTCTGGCCATTTCTAGTAAAGAGTGTGATCTTTGCGTTCCATGAGAAGTCTCCGGCAATTTGCTTTGATCAAAGAGCTTTTTGTCTTCGTCCAATCGGGTGATTTGAAGGCAATTATTGATATCTTCGTTGAGATTGCTCGTCGAAAGATGACGGAAATTCTCAGATGCTTGATTGGTGTTATCTTCGAAATCCGCATGGCGGGCAAGTACTTGGCGCCGATGCACGTGGGAGGGTAGCCGTTCGCTTAATTTTATTAAACTTTACGTTAAACTACATCAATAGTCACTAATATTTGGATAATGTTATTATTTTAATAGTGCAATTTTGAAATTTATATTATAATCACTAACATTATTAATTTTTAACAAAATATTATCCTACAGTAAACATTCATTAATTTAATCACATAATACTTTAACAAAAATATTAATACCTAATTTAAAATTTAAATTATAATTATAATAATAAGCCCATTCAGCATTTTTTAATTTCTCCTTTTTTTTTAATTTTTTCTCAATAGAAATATATAGAATTGATCGACATGGTTGATTCAAATGATAAGCAATTTGATCTTTTTTAAGTAAGTCTTCGATTCGAGACTTTGTGCATATAGAAAATCTCTGAAAGATTCACTCACTAAAATTAAGTGTGCGATGCGAATCGATCAAGATTAATCGAGACAAAACTCTAAAAATTGGGATGACAACCAAAAAAATATATATACAAAATTGTATCAGTAAGAATCGGCAACGATTCCGGATCGGAAATGGCTTTATTTGCACCAACCGGGTTAACCAAAACCCTAACCTTTTCTTCTCAGCTAGTACCTACAAACACCCTTCAAATCCAACGATTCTTATCTCTAAATCAACGGAGACGTGTCCCTCCAGGAAGAATCCAACAGCAAACAGACGTAAAAGCGTCGAGCCCGAGCCCGAGCCCAGGCGCAGTCACCGGCTCGTCTCTCGGGGTGTACTCCTCAAAGCAATTCGAGCTCACCGCTCAAAACGTGGACCTGGTTTTGGAGGATTTGAGGCCTTACTTGATCGCCGATGGCGGAAACAATGACGTTTTATCCGTCGAAGACGGCATCATCTCTCTCAAACTCCTAGGTCACTCTCTTTAGTTTTTCGTTCGTTTCATGATTTAATATCCATGTGCTTATGGCTAATATAAAATTGATTAAATTTCAGGAGCATGTGAGAGCTGCCCTAGCTCAACACCACCATGAAAATGGGGATCGAAAGGGTTATGAAAGAAAAATTCGGGGATGCAGTCAAAGAAATTCGGCAAGTGTACGACGATGTAGTAAAGGAAACAACCGTCGAGGTGAGTTTTCTATATCAAACTTGAGATTCTCAGGGGGGGGGGCGGGGAACAAAATTTTCACCTAAATTGAAATTTGTTTGGAATTTGTAAGTAAACAGCAGTGAATCGTCATCTTGATATACTGAGACCGGCTTTTAAGAATTACGGTGGGAGCGTGGAAGTATTGTCCATTGATGGCGGGGATTGCTTTGTGAACTACACAGGTCCCGAATCGATTGGATCGGGAATCAAAGCAGCGATTAAGGAGAAGTTCCCAGATATAACCAATGTTGTATTAACCTCATAAAGCTTCATTCTTACATCAGAAGCTGAAAATTTTTGATCTTTTTGTGTGTGTTCTTCAGAGAAAGGCCAGCTTGTTGAGGTAATTGATATGCAATCTCTTGCTCATGGTGTTCTTCAGAAGCTTTTTACATGTCTTCTTCTTTCATGGGTCATATATTTAGTCTTTGTAAAGATACTCAAGATTTCATGGGGAAATCAAATTCACTGTTAATTTCTAAGTTCCTTAGGTAGATTTCTCGGTATCAGTAATAGCTTGAGCTCAACCGTATTTTATTTTTTAACTCTTAAAGTTTAAGCTATCAAGATAACCGACTTCGTTTACCAAGTAAATAATGAGTTTGATTTCTATGCTCGACTTCAAGTTTGATTACTTATGTTCAGAATTCAGCCCAAATTAAGAATAAATTTCTTCAATAATAATCCTTCTTTTTCATAAAGAAAAGGTTCGATTAAACTTGCGATCAAGTCGAATAGAGTATTAGGATACTTGGATGAGGGTGCTTGAGTTCGAATATAAAGGGTAAATTATAAATTCAATAACTATTCTTTACTCTCTCTCCTATTTAACTCATTATACTTTTAATTTTTTTCAATTTAACCACTGAACTTTATACATTGAGTTTTTTATGACTCAACCTTTAATAATCTAACGGTATTATGATGTGGATTAAATAAATATTTCTTAATCGTTAAAAGAATCCCATGAAGATAGACAACAATCATATGCAATCTAACCCAGACTTATCCTCCTCCTTCGACAGTGGTTCTTCAGCTGGAAAGGCGAAATTTTGGAAGGAAGAAGACGCCCAACAAGACTGCGGTGGTCTGAGACCCCATGATTTTAAAGCTCGACCACATGCGTTCAAGTATGAAATAGCAGAACCAATGCCTCAGGGAGTACATGCAGAACAGGGTTCAATCTCAAGCTAAAGGTTACATCCCCCAAACTCCCATTCTACAAATTAAATTAGCCTCCTTTTCATCTCGGCAAAGTGTTTGGAATTTTAGATGCTTACCTATTGCATTGTTGACAAAATCGCTGCATGACGTTCCCAACCGGAAGTTTACTAGCTTTGGAATGCATATCACAAAGCTTATGCCATCTATGGTAATCCCCGGCATGCTAACTGCACGGTTTCCAGAACCTCCACTCAAATTGTCCTTTTCCCACTAGTTACCTCCCACGTTCCCATCTCAATTTGACTAGTTCCCACTAATTCCTAATAATTTTATTAATATGGAATGAGTATAAAATAATATATGCTAAAAAATTCAACCCTTTAATATCGAATGTTTGTATCCTTAATAATAACAATTATTTTACCATTGAAGTCATTTAGATCGTGCAATAAATACTAAAAATTATACATACATAAATAAAAAATATGAAATTAAGTTTATTTTTGTCGCATGAAATTCATAAGTTTATGACATATCCATAAATATAGGTTTATGGTTGTCATATGGCTCTTATAAATTTTTATTTAAAAAAATATAAAAATGTAAAAGAAATTTAAAATTAAATAAAATTTTGATAAATTTACATAAAAAACATGTAACATCTACTATTAATTTAAAAAAAAATGTCACGCTCGACGAGCATAGATAAACTCCATTAATGATAAGAATCATTAAACTTATAATTATTAATTAGTTAAAAATCTAAACGTAATTTAATTAAAATGCAATATTTATAAAACATTAATTTTTAGGGTAAACTATACTATTGACCATCTAACTATTTATATTTTTTACTTTATAAATATTGTATTTTAATTAAATTACATTTAAATTTTTAATTTAATTTATGATTATGCGTTTAGTACTTTATAATTTAATATTCTATGAATTCATTTAATGATGTTCATCGTTAACGATTCTCATTCACTCTCGACTATCATTATAAAATTGTTCTTTAAAAAAACTATAAAATTTACTACCAATATTAAACAAAGATATAACTTTTGAACTCTTCTAAGTTCCAAGGCCTTTAAACCTGATTTGTAAAATACCGATAGTAGGTATTTGGGTCTAAAATTGTTGGAAGCTGGGGTCCACAGGGACAGCCCATTAACTGGGTAAACTCGTGTTTTATATTTCCTGCATCACCATCCAATCATCCATTCCATCTTTCTAAACCAAAGGTTTAGGCCTCAAGGTATGAGAAATCTGCTCATTTCTTCCTCTTTTTAATCCCTTTCAGTGACTTTCAGCATCTAGGATCTCATGATTAAACAACCTCACTTCTTGCTTTTGTTCTTGTAAAAAAATACAGATTCTTTGTTGCTATTATGATCACAGAAAACACAGATTAGGTTTGGTAAAGAAAACCAAAGATCCTTATTGTTAAGCAGCTCGGCCATTCACAGTAGTATTTTTCTCATCAATTAAGCTTACAAAAACACTCATTTTCCCATCTGATCTTCACCAGGTTTCAAGTTACCATCATCATCATGGACATATTCTCCCTTGAAACTATCATGGTTGTTGACAGCAACATCTTGAGGATATTTTGCATAAGAGGAATCTCCATGGACGTTGATCGATGCTTGTTGACATCAAAGGATGTTGACCTCTCTTCTGGTGCTATCCTAGCTGAGCTTATTTTAAAGAAGAAACAAGAACAACCTGTTTCCTCTTTCTTCTTCTTCTCTTCCTCCACCATATTCACTTCTTGACCTTGTAAGGCCTTTTCTTGACCTTGTAAGACCCCAACCTAAATGCACTACTCTCATATCAACCTCGAACCATCAACGATTCCCTCCTAACTCACCAACTCAATCCCTGTCTATCCCTCCTGAGCTACCATCAAACGTTTGAATCAACTGACACGAGTGGTTCGAGTTTTGATCGTATGAACCTCCATGATGTTGTAGTTACTTTCATTTTGTATTTCATTATTTCAGTAGGCGTTGAATTCTAGTTTGTGTTTCGAGTGAGTCAAACCGTTTGACATTTTGTTT